ATTACAAACTGTGCAGCTATAAACATGGGTGCACATTTATCACCGTGGTATGATTCTTTTAATTCTTTAGGGAAGATAACCCAGCAGAGGAATAGCTGGGTCAAATGGGACCTCTAATCCTAGTTTTTGAGGTATCTCCATATTGATTTCCACAGTGATTGCACCAGTCTGTACTCCCACCAGCAATGGAGAAGGGTTCCTTTCTCCCCACAACCCCGCTAGCATTTGTTATTGTTTGATTTCTTGATAGCAGCCATTCTTTCTGAGATGAGGTGGAATCTCAGCATTGTTTTCATCTGCATCTCACTAATGACCAGTGAGGGAGTGGAGTATATTTTTAAATTAATACATAGTAAAATCAAGATATGAGTAATTGACTTGTTTTGATTACTGATGTTTTCTGTAGATTGTGTTCCTTTATTCAACAAGTGGAATTTTGCATATTATTCTAGTAATTAGATTATTTTTCAGTAGTATAATGGTTCAGCAAAGCTTTATTGTCTGGGTTTTTTTCCAACTAGTTTTTCCTCAAATTTTAGTTTTCTTTTTTTTTTTTTTTTTTTTGGTACTGGGCATTAAACTCAGGACCTAGTGCTTGTGAAGCAAGAGGCGGAACCACTGAGCTAAATCCCTGGCCCCCTCAAATTTTAGTTTTTAAAAAAATTTTCTGAACTAACCCAAACTCTTTTATGTAGTTCTCTGGGAACAGTAATTTAAGTGTATTTTTGGAGTACCACAAACATTAGTCCTTTATAAAATATTAGATACATTATTTCATTTAATTACATTAGCCTTGTTCAGTGGGTAGTTTAGGAAGATTGCTATTTTTGACTCCTACACCTTTATTTGTGGCTAATTTTTTAGGTCCACTACTATTTTTACCCTGTGAATTAATCCTTTTGAAATCCTTTGATAGAGCAGAGTATTTTTACACTGTGGACAGCCTACCTAAAGAATATATGTGAAGGGTTTAATTTAGTATTCTAGTCACCAGTTGAGTAAATTTCCTGTGTTGCCTAATTTTAAATGTCAGTATATGTAAAATGGTTTATAAGGGTAGTTTATTGCCTTTTTTGGATTTTTTTTTAACAAGAAAAAGTCTTAACTATTAAATGTCAAAAGAAATTAAGATTAGATATAATACTACTCACCTGTTACAATGTATTTTATAGAACATGAAAGCATTCCATTTGAATCTAGAGAGAACTGTTCTTAGTGTTAATTTGATCACTGACAGCCATTAGGAAAGCTGATATAAAAAGAACCATAGTTTTACTAATGTGATTGACATGGGCTGTCTTAAAAGAATGTTTAAATGTGATAGGGACCATGTAGGCTGACTACAGGTGAGCACTTACTTTTGAGGTCCAGGTTGGGTGTCTTGGAATCATGACAATAACGATAGGTCCTGGGAAACAGCTTTTAAAAAAGCATCAACCTCTAATGGTATACCTTCTAAATCATCTTTGAGTTTGAATTGCAGTTTTGTAAATACGATTTACTTGTTAGTAGGCAAGAAAGGTGTTCTAGAGATTCCCACAATAGGAAAACCTACCTATAAGCGTAGGTACTGAGTTTCAGTCTTTAAGCACTTATTCTTTAACACTTGCTTCTCTCTCTCTAGGAGGGGCTATCTGTAGGCAGCCTATGATTGAGGATAGAGCAGCAGCAGGAAGGAAGGAAGAAATATTAGGAATCAAGAATCCTGAATTCCCAAATAAGGAAGGTTTCCTGTTCTTACATTTAAATATGAGTTTGTCTGAGCTGTGAATTTACAACGCTTCAGAATTCTAGGGTATGTTTTACTGAAATCATTAGGAAGATTATTTTTATTCTATTAACATTGCCTCCTTAACTGATATAACTGGTACAGAGCATTCATAGTAAAATATGTGCTCTGGTTTTTAGTACACATTACACTGTAGTAAAACAGTGAATAAATTCTAACTAATTTTGTAGTTGTATCATAAAGTTGAATGGTGATTTTTTAGATTTTGATTAGGAAACTAGAAATTTTAGAAATTCTTAGAAGTCATATTTAAGTGGATGATAATGGAGGGTATTTTGTTGTATATAAGGAATAAAAATGAATAACTGAATTTTTATGTATAAGGAAACAATTTATAATTGCTTTAAAACTAAAATTATTTTTAAAAACAATAAGTATATCAAATTTTTTCTATATTAGTTTTAAATATGAACTTTTATTTTATTTCATTTCATTTCATTTATTTATTTTTTGGTACCGGGGATGGAACTCAGGACCTTGCCCTTGCGAGGCAGGTGATGACACCACTGAGCTAAATCCCTGGACCTTTTTAAAGCCTTCACTGTTTAGAAATTTAACGAGTTATTTTAGAGAAACAAACTTAACCTTGAAAACTAAATTTAAAGTATCTTTGGAGTTTTCTGGATAGATCTATGCTGCATGTAATGATGAAGTTCCCTTGGGAATTCCTTAAGATTAGTTCAGTCTAAACCATTTTTTAAAAATCTTTGAAAAAAGTTTTATGCCTTGTGGTTATCACATAATGTATAATTTGATGCTTTGGTAGCTATTTATATACTTTGGTTTGTGTTAAAGTTGCCTTCAAATTTGTAGATAAGAAAAAAACTAAAAATTACTTAATTTTTATGTTTTGATTTCTATTGAATGATTTTGTTTTAATCTTATGAAGACAACTGAAGATCACTGCATTTCCTTTCTTTTTCCTCTCTGAAATGCTTTATGACACATTTTCTAAAATTAGAAATGTACAACATTGTTTTGTAGTCATACCAAAGGGTTTTTTTTAGTTTAAAATTGGTGGCCTGTTTTCTGACTTACGTTTTCCTTACCTGGGGAAGATAACTCAGTTTTCAGAATTTTTTCTATTGTATGAGTCTGAGCCAGAATGAATTATTTTCTAATGTTAACTAAATTATCTTTGGGAAATTGAAGTATGTGCAGATTATGATAATATATAGTTGTAGTTTTCTGACTACTATTTTCTATTTTTTGTTTGTTTTTGTTATAGTAGTGAAGCCATTTCTTCAAGTGAAACTTTAGACAGATCCAAAGCAGTTAAGCCTAAAGAGAAAGAATGGAAATCCTATCCAGGACCCAAATATTTGAAACGATCAAAAGGGAATGGCTCAGGTTAAAATTATGTCGCACCATGAATTGTAAAGGAAAAGAATGCCACTTAGCTGATGTCATCAGAGGAAATTTAATAAAAATGAGAATGTATAATTTTAGTCATTGAATGATTGAATTGACAGCAAATTTATTGAACACAGAGGCTTTCTTTGGGTCTTTATGTTCTGAGTTGAAATAGAATAATATAATAATTTCCACATATATTGTGAAGTTTGAAAATTCTAATAAAAATCATTAAAAAGTCATGTCTCTCACTTGTATATATACATCATACTTTTTATTAACCAAGTTTTTTGTTAGTGTAATTAAGATGGTTGATGTTTACAAGACCTTGTATATCGGTATTTGCCACACGTTATTCTAGGCATTGTTTAGTTAATTCCTGTAAAAACTGTATGGATAAGTTCAGTTCCCATTTTCACAAATTAGATAATTTAGGCATAGAGAGGCTGCTCAACTTTGCTCAAGTTTAAACAAAAGACAAAATATGAAAGTAGATAATAAAAGAGACTATGCATCTTAGTTTTTAAGCAAACTTTGAAGGGAACAAATTTTCATTTATTCTTCAATCATTTTATGAATGTTCATGCAAATTTACCTTTAAAATAGAAATAAATATTCTTAAACTTTGGTAAAAATGAAAGCACTTGCATAATTTTACTTTTAAATATTCTTTTATATTATAAATGTGGTAATGTAACCTCTAACCTAAGAAGTTTCATATAGCATATGCTAGGCCATAAACAGTAATCACATACAGTTAGAATGTTGAGTTCTTTGAAGTAGCATTACTGTTTGTAATGTGTTATTAAAAGACATGGATTGCTTTGTTATTTGTATCAAAGCTTCTTAGGGTTTCTGCAGGGAAAGTAATAGCTTACCAAATTCTTAGTATTTGCAAGTAGCTGAGCTATGGCAGTGTGAACTAGTTTATTAAGTAAGGCCACATTTCCTGTTTTCCTATCAGGTATGTTTACTTAATAGGAAAAGAAATATATGCTCAATCTTACTCATAAAAGAAGATATAAAATAAATCTACTGTGGCATACTATGTTAAGAATTATAGGGCCGGGGATTTAGCTCAGTGGTTTTCTGCCTCCTGTGCAAGCACAAGGACCCGAGCTTGATCCCCAGTACCAAAAAAAAAAAAAAAGTGACTAAACCAATCTAAGGTATAATTCAGAAAAAAAGTGAAATTAAGACCAGCATATTAATTATAATATTACAGAGATATATATACATCTGATATCTGCAAAAGGATATGCTGGAGAGAATATATGAGGAATGTTCTGTAGAGGTTATCTATAGGGTGGCCAAGTGGAGGTAGAGGAATGCTTCATTTTTCTGTATCTTTTAAATATTTTTATTGCAGACCCAGCTGCCTATTCAAAGTAATTAATTTTGGGGGAAAATGTTAAGTCATAGACTTAAAATCTATAAAGGGCCTATCCAAGCCATTCCTTTTTCAGCTGATTTAGAGCTGCCCAAGCTTTAGCTTTACAGTCTGTTTTACATCACAGAGCAGTGGATTTCAGCCGCGCTTTCGTTATACCAGTAGTTCTCAGTGACGCAGCAGGACTTAATGGGATATTAAAATCAGAGATACTAGCTCTTTTGTTCATCATTGTGTTCCAATTATCTGACATACAGTAGGTACTGAGTAAATATTTGAGTGAGGAAACATTTAAGATATTTATCCTGTGGGATGAAACAGGCCAAGAGTATTTCCTCTCCTTTATATTTGAAAGAAAAAAGTATTTTTCTGTTTCATTGGAAAACTTATAACTGTATTTGTTATACTTTAATGTGTTATGTCCTAAGAAAACATTTGTAAAGATATAATTTGTTAATCATTTTTCAGACACTTGCTTCATGTCCTATTGACCGAAAACCTTTTCAGGCAGTGTTTAAATTCAGTGCGTTGGATGGTTGTATTAAGGTGAGTCTATTCTTACTTTGCAACATGAAATATGTAAAGTTAATCGAGGGTGTTTTACTTTGATAGGTTTCCAGTTTGTATATATTTGAAAATTGTTCATCTTTAGGCTTAGTGTCATTTCTCTTCAATATGACAAGCTCAGATCTTTCAGCAAAGGTGTGGAAATCCTATTTGTGTCCTAAAGAGGGCATGTCTATAGTGGTTACCTTGTGATGCTCCATGTTTTTAAAATGTGATAGATTTCCGATGCTCTAGAAGTTCCCACTTAATTACAGAATACTTAAATTTTTAGTGTACTTCCCGTATTTCAGAAACATTTATTAGTTGAATAGCATTTTGAATGCATTTCTGTTGAAACAGTGTTTAGAGTGTTAGATTTAAAGACTGACTCTCACAAATATTTTAAGTCTAAAATACCTGAAAACTACTGGCATGGTGGTGCATGTCTGTAATCCCAGCACTTGGGGAGGCTGAGACAGGAAGATTGCTGTGACTTCGAGGCCAGCCTGTACTGCATAGTGAGACCTTGTCTCAATTAAATTTTTTATTAAAACCCTGAAAACTATATTTTCATGAAAAACATAATTTTGAGACTAGCTAATAAAAATTAAATATAAAATATCTTGGTCTTAAATACAGGTTACCTCATTGATATTACTTGTGAACCGTGATTATGATTTTTTATTGATGTTGATTTTTCACTTATAAAAAAATCAGAACATATTCCTGGGTTAATTAGTAAAAGACCAAACAGATAGTAAAGTAGGACATAAGAGAAATAAAAATTCAGTGTATGAGAATAAATGATAAATAACTAAAAATGAGCATACTTATATGCATACGTGATGCTATTAATAGGAAATGAATACACTACTGTTTGTCTATAACAGCTTGGTCACTGGAGGAAAGGGTACTTAAGCATTAGTCATTCTCCTTGTAGATATTTATTATTTGGCTTGCTGTTTTTATCAGATGAGCCTGGTAAGGTACAAACAAGACTGCATTTCAGATAAAATGATTATGTGAAAAAGGACCTGGCTTGTTGTGTGTTTCTTCACCATTGAGGCAAATTAGTGTGTATTGGAGCAAAAGATACAACATTAGGTATGATAAAGTGGCTTCTGTGGAAGACATATTGACTATTTTTTCAGTCTGTCTTTATAAAATTATATTGCTAGATTAATTGGCATGATCTAAGTTTCCAGAGATACTTTGTTCTGTTACTTGGAATAAAAATTTACATTTATTTAATAGGGCTTGAATATTACTTAAAAGTTTGGTACAGCACTAATCCAATTATTTGTAAGTTAAAAGGTATCTACTTTTAAACATTTGTCATATGAGATCTACATTCTTTTAATATCTTTCTGTGACCCTGCTTTTGAATCTTCACTTATCTTTTTCTTTTTACAGCTACACTTCTTGAATGAGGCCTCTCAATTCACTTCTCAGCTTTCATTGAGCATTTACTTCCATCTTGTTTTATTGAAATGGTCCTACTAAGTCCTGAGTAATCTTCTGACTTCCAGATCCCATTGTTTTTTTCCTGTCTTATGTTGCTTACTACCTTCTTTTTCCTTGGGACATCCTTTTGTGCGAATGTATGTATTTTCACTTTACCTGTATGACTTCCACAGTCTTTTTTGCCAGGTCCCTCCCTTTTTCCTTTTTCAATCACAGGATCTTCATTTCAATTACTTGGGTTTACTTTCTCAGTCTTCTCAACTACTTTAATAAACTTTAAGTACTATCAATGTTGGGATTACTTCTCAAATTCTATCACTAGTCCATACCTCTTTCCTGAGAATCAGACCTATATTTTCAACCACTTTGTTAAAGATCTCCATCTAATAAACCTTTTAAGGAATCTTAAGCATTAGCAAATCCAAAACTCATCTATTCCCCCCCTTTTTCCAAGCCCTGTCATAACTGTTGATGTAGTCACTCGTTTTTCCTCCCTCATCTTTTCTTATTTTTTTCCTACTTAATGTGTTCTTAAATGCGTTCCTTTATTCCTCTGCTATTGCCTCTGTAGGCCCTCACTTTGTCTACATTAGTGCTGTCCAATAGAAGTGGACTAGAAGCCACTATATAAACATTTTAGTACACACATTAAAAGGTAACAGTTGAAATAAATTTTAATGATATATTTTATTTAATGTATATCATATAATATGTAAGAATTATTACTAAGAGATTGAATGTTCTTTTTTAAGTTGTAGTTGGAGTAAGCACGTGTCCATTCAGAGAAGCCACATGACATGCATTCAGCAGCCACCTCTGACTAGTGACTATCATATTAGTCAGTGTAGATCTAGATATCATATAAGAGTTTTCTCTCTGGCTTTCTGATTTTTATAGCCTCTACGTAACTGATTCATTCTCTACATCACTTCTAACATTAATCTTCCTGAAAAAAACAAAGTTGATCATTTCATTCACTTGCTTTAAAAACTCTACTTACTCTCTGATGCCTGTGGAATTTTCTTTTTCAAAGACCATTACAGCCTGGCCCTAACACATTTCATCATCTTCACATTGTGCTTTTCTTCCCCATCTAGATTGGCTTGTTCCTAAAACTCTGGGCTATTTTCTGCATTTAGAATGGTTTTTTTCCTTTGGCAGTTCCCACTCATTTTTAAAAACCAAGTCATAAATCATTTTCTCAGACCTTTCTGACATCCTCCGAGTTAATTTCTCAGTCCTTTATGTAGACACATCTGCTCATTTCTGCTTTGAGCACTCCTTCCTTTCTCTCTCTCTCTCTCTTTCTCTCTCTCTCTCTCTCTCTCTCTGTGGGATTGAACACTAGGCCTCCTGCGCTTCCACTGAATTATACACATAACCCCTTGCTTAATCTATTTATATGCCACACTTCTTAACTATTTTGTTTCCCCAGAGTTTAGCATACTTACTGAGTTTGTAAGGGACAATTAAAAGGTTATTGTTTGTGATGTTGGGTTATCATTCTAAGTAGATGATTTTGTTTTTCTCATAGGTTCAAGTAAAAAGACAGTTGAGAGACACAAAAGAAAAGAAAAATGAAATCTCTCTTAAGAAACAGCTATCCTGTCATGAAAGATCTGAAGGCTTCCTAAGGTTAGTGATTAACTTTTAGAAGTGGTGTCCACATAAGTAAAACTAGAAATAAACCAGTACACAAAAAAATGTGAGCTTAAAATGCATTTACTTCTTTGAAAGCACACACCTAATATTTTAATGAAGGATCAGCTAACGCCTTAGAATATAATTTCAGTTTTATATTTGATAGTTAGCTTTTTTTTCCTTTAGTTTTCCTCCCCTGATCTACTGTTGACCAGAACTTTTATGAAAAAAAAAACAACAAATGTTAAATAAGTGTACATTTTTGTTAAAATTTCTGATTGCTTACTCTTATTTTGTACCTGTCGTAAGCCAATTACAAACAGTTAATGGATAAGCACTGATGTCCAGATCACACTTTGAGTGGCACTCATCTGGACAAAAAAATAGCAAGTAACTAATGAAATGACACTAAGGCATTTAAGGTTGAAACTGCTTTCACATTTGATTCCTTACATTTTAGCAGACACTTACTACACGTGTTTATGTTTTAAAATTTTAAAACATATTTGGATTTGTTTCTTTAATTGCTTTGTAAATAAATCATTGCTCTATTTTACCATTCATGCCTGGAGTTTAATACATATGTAACATTTTCTGAACTAAATTGAATATGAGTAGTAATAATATTAATACATAATATAAGCTTATCTTTCTGCCTGCCTTCCTTCCCTCCTTCTTTCCTTCCTTTGGGGAATGAACTCAGGGCCTCATATATGCTAGGCTAGAGCTCTACCAGTGAGCTATGTCCCCAGCCCTAATTTAAGCTTATATTAATCTGAAATGTATATATATTTTTTTCTGATTTAAGCTTATATTAATCTGAAATGTATATATTTATTTTTTTCCTGAAATGTATTTAGAACTGTCCAGAAGTTAGTTAGTTTATTTATTTATTTATTTATTTATTTTATTTTGGTACCAGGGATTGAACTCAGGTCCTTGTGCTTGCACAGAAGGCATGTGAAACCAGTGAGCTAAATCCCCAGCAAGAAGTTATATTTTTTAGTCAGTATATTGTCACATTAATAATTAGATCTAGAATTCATTAATGCATATCATTAGAATTTTTTTTTATGTTTATTTGTTTTTTGAGACAGGGTCTTGCTATGTAGTTCAGGCTGGCCTTAAACTCACTGTGTAGTCCAGGCTGGCCTTAAACTTGTGGCAATCCTTCCTACCTCAGCCTCCCAAGTGCTGGGATTACAGATGTATACCACCACACCAGGCTAAGAATTTTAATTTCTTAAGGCAATATTTTTATTCACAGTATCTTCTTTTTGGAGTTTTTTGTTGTTTTTAGCATTCCTGTCATTCAGTCTTCTGCATATGCCCGTTATCTCCAGCACACATACAAGGTCCATTTAGATTTACCTCTCCTTTTTACAGCAGTAAAATCCTGATAACTCTCTCTGATACCTTTACCAATTCCAAGTAAGGGAAAGCAGTGGTACTTTGGTCTTTAGTAAACCTCCATTTTAAATCATTGGAGCAGAGTATGTCAGAGAGTGCAGACTGGCAATTAGTTATGCTTTCTTTGCTAGAATTTTCTAATAGTCCTTTTTAAAAAAATTAATGTCTGCTTACATCTATTCTGCATGGCTCAGTATCCACTTATGATTAGCCAACAAGACTATTGTTTAAATACTGAGATGATACTACTCATTATATATAAAAATGTAGCTTGGCATTCTGATACTTATGGGAGTCTGCTATAATACTATTTAAAATATTTACCAAACTAGGGATAATTAATAAAATTAATGCACAATAGATTTCATTTTGATGGGCAGTGAATTGAAAATAAATGAGCAAAATGATGTTTTTTCTCTTAAATCTTTCAAATCTTTATTGGTAATTGCAGAAAAAAGGCCATAAGAGAAGATCTGTTAAGTGCAAGATTTTATGACTTGACACTGATACATAGTAAGTGATTTTTTTTGTTTGTATTCTTTGTTGCTGTTATTGTTTACTGCTTGTGCCAAAGTTCTCGAGTAATACTTTGGTATGGAAAACAGTTGAGCAAAGAACTGTACATTGTGTTACATCCTATATAAGCTTTGCTTTTGAGGAGTCATTTATGTTGTTTACTCTTTTTTCCTCTTTGTTCAGCTTGGAGGGAGGGTTGGAAAGTAAGGGGTGCGTGCGTGCATGTGTGTATGTGTAGAAAAGAGCATTTCTCAGCGATTTGGTATTTAGCAACCTGCATGGTAGTCTTAACATCACTGTTTAGCACTGATGTCCTTATTGGAGATAGTAAAATACTTTGTTGGATTAATACTTGTAAACAGTAGCAAGGATAGTCAGGAGCAAATTCACAGTTCCTGGAGGCAGCTGTGGCTTGGCTTTAGCAACACTTTCTTCAGGTTATTTTAGTTGTAATCAATCTATATTGATACGTGTTTATTCATGCTTGGCTTCTAAATAAAATTGTTGATTTAATCCAGTTGTCATTTATTTCATTACTCTTGAATTCAGGCAAGAAGGTCATGGTGATCAGAAATAATACTGGATAGGAGGATTGAGATCCTAGTTCTGACCTAAACAACTAACATTTCTGTATATTATACCATAAGGGATAACTCAAAACAAGCAAACACCATTCAGAGTTTTTGTTTTTCATTCAGATATAATGCACTGGAGCCATTTTAGGAGAATTAACAAAGCAAAGATACTCCAAAATGATGAGATATAGTAACCTGGCAGAAAATCTCTGAAGCTGTCAGAAAGAATAAGCTAACTATGTTCTGAGGTTATGGTGCAGTTTGTCTTCAAGACTCATTTAACTCCTATGTGAGCATTACTGAGGAATCCATTTTCTCACATTTTAACATCTCTGAATGAAACTGTCTTATTTGTCCTGTATAAACACTTGTTAATACACTGTTTAAAGACTAAACCGATCAAACATATTGAATTAGTTATGTTGGATTACCAGTGGTAGGTAGCTTCACAAAAGGAGAGACAACCAGGCATAAGTAAATAAAATTATAGTGGAGTAGTGTACCCCTAACCCCAATCAAAGACTTTACTAATTTATAGGATATACAGGGACAGAGATGAATAAGTAACAACAAGGGATGCATTTAACAAAATACAGACCACAAAACAAATTACCTGACTTCTTCAGCAAATTCTGAATTTAAAAAGTGGAAGAGAGGAGCCTATAGATTTAAAGGAACAGTGAACCAATCATGTATGGATCTTATTTGGATCCTTGTTCTAATGTATTATAAAAAGAATTTTAAAAATACAACTCTGTGAGATTTTGGAAAATTGAATAGACTTTCATATTAAGGAATTACTATTTAGGAGTTGTCTTTTGCTTTTGCATTGTGATAATAGTATGAAGAATACTTTTTCCCAAAAGATCACTTTTTAAAAATAGTTAAATATTGAAATATTTATTCACAAAATATTATATCCCGGATTTGTTTGAAAATGAAACTGAGGAGGTAGTAGATAAAATTGGCCATTAATTGGGCCAGGGATTTAGCTCAGTGGCACTGTGCCTGCCTCACAAGCACAAGGTCCTGAGTTCAATCCCCAGTACCAAAAAAAAAAAAAAATGGCCACGAATTAACAATTCTAGAGGTTTAGACTTGGTTATATGGATTTTCACCATGATAGCCTCTTTACTTTTGTATTTGAAATTTTCTGTAATTTGAGAAAGCACTGAGACAGGGGAAATAGTGCCAGAGCTAGAGTGCTTGCCTAGCTTGTATGAGGCCCTAGGTTTGATCCCAGCATCAGAAAACAGTGATGAAAGCAAAAGTACTATGAGACCATAACTGTCCACACAAGTAGTATATAATTCTAGTTCCTGTAGTTTATTTCAGTGAAATACAGTATATTATCTGTTTGTGCCTTTTTCTAGTAAGATTTTGTTTCTTCAGAGAAGTGATTGTTTTCATAGTATAGCATTTTCCTAGGGTATCATACACTGTAGAAATGTCCCTTGACCACAGCTACGTGATAATAAGGCAAGTAGATAATCCAAAGATGAAACACACAGAAAACTGACTCAGAAAGATAAAGTGATAAAAACGTATAAGAATGATGCCACCAATTTCAGAAATACAGTTTTCTCTTGTACAGAAAGGGGACTGAAAGACAATGGGAGGAGATGGGGTAGGGGGCTTTAGCTGCGTCTGGAATGTAAGTGATGAAAAGCAAAACATTAACATTAGTAAATCTTTGTAGTTGTCATTTTTATGCTTTATGGAATGTAAAAGTTGATTATAAATACAAACTTTAAAACTTTTAAAAGGCTAAATATCTTGTCCAAAATCATTTTGCTAATACTTGGAGCAGCCAAAATTTGATCTGCTCTTCTGACTCCACAGCCAGTGCCTATTTCCACTAAAGCATGTATCATTAACATCCTCCACTTCGTGATTGTCTGCAACCTTGAATAAATTATTGCCTTACTACTCTAATGGCTCTTTTTTGCATCCACTTTGAAACTAAAAAAATAGTAATTTAATACGAAGCCAGCTGTCATTTTAATAGGATAATATCTGTTCCATACTCAATATAGTATATCAATCACCAGTGATTTTTTTCTTACCTTTCAGAAATGTGGTATCAGTCTTTGTTTTTTCCAGACTGATATCATAAATCATAGCTCTAAGACTTGTAAGAGTTTTAACCTTTAATTTTTCACATTCCTTGTGAGATTTCTTAGTATTTAACAAAATGCCTCATTAGAGGACTGGAAGATAATACATTTTACTAGGAATTATCCTAAAGTTTAGGGATAATAATGAACCTATCATACATCAGAAAAGCAAATCTTTAAATGTTGACCATTTCATGACTGCACAAGGTAAAGGTGGAGTTAGTGGGAGATTGTACAAATTGAGTACATTTTTATATACCCAGCTACACCAAACAGAAAGCACAATATATCTGATGGATAATTTAACTTTCTTTTAATCAAAGAACTTGAGAAAATGTCCATCTCTTTACCGAGGGTTGCTTAGCTAGATTTTAGAACTCTGCCTTGCTTCTTTAATTTTTTTTTTTTGTACCAGGGATCGAACTCAGGACATTGCGCTTGCAAGGCAGGCAGCAGCACCACTGAGCTAAATCCCCGGCCTGCTTCTTTAATTTCTTAAAGATTTTTGAAGCGAGAAAAACTGTTCTTTAGATATGTGTGACTTTCTACCAGAAGTTGTCTCTCTATTAGGTACTGTTCAAACTAATGAAGAGAGTTTCTGAACTTGTGAAATTCTTATATCTGGACTAGAAATTATTAGTATAGACCATAAATTTAGTATAACATTAGGGGAACCTCCAGCAGGCCTAAAGGATGATTTTATTGGAAGTCATGCCACTTGGATTTGATGCTAGTTTTTTCCATTAAAACAACCATGGCTCTAGAAACTAAATTACTTGTTAATTTAGTGTCATCATATAATGAAGACACTGTTGCCTTACTAGAGATATTATGAAAGAGAGCAACCCGTTGGTGAATTTGTTCCTTTTTTTTCTTTTCTTTTTCGTGGTACCAGCAATCAAACTCAGGGTCTTGTGCTTGCCAGGCAGGCACTGCGCTACTGAGCTACATCCCCAGCCTAATATTTATTGTTCCCTTGATGTATGTACTGTACATTCTTCTATATAGTTTTTGTTTTTTGTTTTTGAGACAGGATCTCACTATGTAGTTCAGGGTGTCCTTGAACTCACTTTATAGCCCAAGCTGGCCTTGGACTTGCAGCAAGTCTCCTGCCTCAGCCTTCCCAGTGCTGGGATTATAGTCACGTTCCACCACACCCAGCGAATTTGTTAGGTGTCACTTTCATTTTTTCATCATAACTAAATAACTGACTTATACTTTCTGTTTTTAACTCCTTTATGTATAGGTTGAGAGGCTCTTACCTGAAATGCATCAGACCAGAGAAGAGTTCAGATTTTAAGTTTTTGGGAATTTTTGCACTGACTCTACTGGGATGTGTCCTCTAATCTAAAAATATGAAATCTGAAATGCTCCAAAAATCTGAAACTTTTTGAGTTTCATGTCATTGCCCACTTTGGATTAGGGATGTCAACTTGTACTTTCTCTTGAAATGAACATTAAATTTGGTTTGGGTTAATAATAATTTATGTAGCTTTTAAAAAGAAATTCCCTTTCAGGCATTTCTTGATGGTATACTTAAATAGGTTAGGTCTATTTAAGTATGTCTTTATTGACTTTGGAATCAGTCAAACTACAATGCCTGCCAAGTGCTGGGTGTTAAGCTCAAAGCCTGTATTGAACTGGTTTGTCTCATACAGAATGATGCTTTCTTGAAGCATCTTTTAAGGGTTAGTGTTTCCTGAAATGTGTGTTTGGGATGTAATGAATTAAGTAAGACAAGCTTCCAGTTAATCCTGGCAGGTTGAATACCTGTGTAATTCTCTGATCCTTCCTAGTATTCAACTAAAATGACAAAAATGGGATGAAAAGGAAAATTCTAAGCCACAAAGACAAGAGAACTAGAGAGGGGAGAATACAGTGTGAGGACAGTACATTCTTATGTCCTAAGAATAGAAATGTGAAGTGATTTTGTTAGGGCAATACAAACTGTGTTAGCAGAAACATAGACCTCTCATGGGGAGAATGGAGTTAAGAATCAAGTCAGTTCACATGCAGAGGAACAGTGGTGGTAAACCTGTGGCATGTGTGCCACAATGGGCTGTTTGTATCATTGAAAGCTCTGAAAGGTTTGCCACCACTGCACTAGAACCTTATAAAGTCTCAGGTTTGGAGGCCTCCATTATTTCTGAAGGCAGATAGAAGGTGGTGCTAAAAAACAAATTGGCTAACAATCTTTAGAGGAGCATGTTTGGTCAGAGGAAGGAGACTACTCTGGCGAAGACTGCAGGATCATTCTGCAGAGTTAGGATTGAATCCAGTTAAAGTCTTAATACAAATGAGGATA